AATATTTTCTTTGTGTTATCTGATAAGAACATGATAACTGATAACAACTTTGATAACTGATAGATATTCTTATTGGATGCTACCTTGCCGACAATGGGGGTCGTGCAGGGATTGACTGCTCATCTTGTGGTAATGGTCAGCAGAGAAATAGGCTAAAATTGCCACCTGCTTTACCGACAACGAGGTGTGGGGTGAAAGTTGGTTGTTCATCTAGCTGCAGATAACAGCAGCGCGCTAATCTGTAGAATCAAAGTTTAAATAAATAGAAATTTAAATGTTTGTAAATTTCAGCAATTTATGTATAATTGACTTGTAAAATGTTTCAGGTTGACTGTATGAACAAAATAGATGAATTGTGTGTTGTTTTCATGTATAAATTCCTTTGAAATAGTGAAATATTGATAGTTTTGTAATAGAAGTTTAAAAGTGTTTTAACTGGTAAAATATATAGGAAAAATATAAATTAAACTATTGTATTAGTTAAGATATTTGTATTATCAAATAAAGAACATTGTTTCAGCCTTATATGTTAGATGTTTAAGAATTCTAACTTAGTGCATATGTTCTAAAATAGGCATATTTTGTTAAATAAATAAAAGGTTTTTTGTGATATGAAAATGTAATGTATATCGTAGTATAGATAATTTTTTGTGCTATCTTTATAAATAAAATGTATAAATGTATGTCTTATACAAATAAAGATATTGAGCAAACCGTGAGGGAGTGATTGATGTAATTAAGTTGCGAAATTGCATAGAGGGCGCGGCTCTCTTTCGAGTATAGCCTTTTTGATACCCCGTTAGACTGATTTTCATGTAAATCGTTAAGGATCTCCTAAGTGTGTGCTGTTTGTGGATTAGCAGTGGTCCCAAGCAGCCACCGTTACGACATACTCCACCGATCGTCGAGTCCGCATACTCCATGAGGTGTCGAGGTCACCGGCCCTTAGCCAGATTCTTGGCACTCAAGTGCGTTCCGTGCCTTGTGTGCTAAAGTCGCGTACGTGAGTGCTATCTAGCACTTCCCCCAACCCTTTCGTTGTGAAAGGGGTAGGCAGTGCGCCCAAGTGTTGCGGTCATCATCTTCGCTCCCATCTTTACCTCGCGGCGCGCATCGAGTCAACCTCCTAGGTAAAGTATATAGACGTAAGACACACGTACACCAACCAAAAACAGTAAACAGTGTAACATGACCAGCAGGGGAAAGGGGGAGCCCCCCCCCCACCCCCTCGCGTTAGGAAACCCCCGGATCGTCCCGGGGTTTTAGATCGACCACTTCTGATTAGGGACCTCGCGAACCCGGAACGCTCCAGGATCGTGAGCTCATTCAGCCAAATCCCGAAAACCACCAGGAAGCCTACCTCGCCGCCTAAGGAGCCCGCATCGAGCGCCGCGCTCGCGTTCCCCGCGCCTGAGTGCACGAGCGAACGCGAACCGTCGCCCCTACCGCAGCGGGCGAAGAAGTCGGCCAGGAGGCATACACCACCGGAGACGGAAGCATCCCTATACGAGAAGAGGCAATGCGTCGTGTCTCCAAACTCGTCAGCATCCGAATCATCAGACGAAGAATACCATTTACCAGCGGTCGAAGGAAGGAAATACAATACGCCGCCGAAATCACCTTCTCCGAGAAAACCAACCCCTCCTATCTCGCCAGACCGACGTAGCAACGCGGTTGAGTACGAGCAAGGGGGGGAGGAATTGTATGGCTGGGATAGCACTACGTATGCTACCCTAGCACCATCGGATGGACAACCAACAAACCCGTCTGGATTGCCAACGGACGACGGACAACGTCCGTCAACAAGCTACGCACAACTGGCAGCAGCCCCAGCAGTACCAAGGCAGGAGGCCGCAGCCCCGAAACCAGAGGAAGAAACCGGGAAGGGGAGATACCCTCCCATAGTTGCAGAATGCCTCCCAAACTGGACGAAGCATTTTGAGGTGCTCAACAAGAAGTTGGGCCACCCTCCTAACGCTCGTCCATTTGGGAAGGGGGTGCGCTTCTCCCCCCAGAGCCCGGAAGAATTCCGGACCATTCAAAGATACCTCATCGATTTATCCAAAGAAATACCAGCCATGTCCTGGTACTGCTACACCCCGGAAGAAGAGAAGCCCACGAAAGTGGGCATTAGGGGGCTGCCAGTAGACACGGATACGGGAGCCATAGGAGAGGCTATCAAGGCATTGGGCTTTCCAATTCGCTATGTAAAGGCAATCCCGCCGCGCAGAGGAAGACCGGGTTGCCTATACTTCGCGCAACTGGACCATTTAAGGCAAGAAAGGCTCAAGGATCTTTATAACGTTAACGAGCTCCTTTTTATGAAAGGAGTCGTGATAGAAGCCTGGCAGGGACGAGTGGGACCAGCACAGTGTCACCGCTGCCAGGCTTTCGGACACGCCTCCTATAACTGTTTTCGCCCGATAAAATGCGTCCGTTGCGCGGGGGAACACGCTGCAAACCAATGCCCGAGGGGTAGGGATGAAGCACCTACATGCGCAAATTGCGCCAAAGATCATACGGTCAACGATCGACGATGTCCGGTATTGAGGAGGATCGCACGGAAGCAAGGTATCACACTTCCGGGCTTGCTTCCGGAAGCGCCGAGGCAGATTCCGGAGAGTCGCCAGAGGACCGTCCAAGTCAACGAAGAGGGGTGGACAACCATAAGGGGAAGGGGGGAAGGCAAACAGCCCCCCCCCCTCAGCAGCCACAACAACCGATGGAAATCGTAGAGCCACCACAACAAGGAGCAACCACCGGAGCGACTCTCCAGCCCCCCGCAAATGATGCTACTGAGCGTCTGGTACCTAAGAAGAAAAAGCGGGGGAGAAAGAAGAAAAACCAAACACAGCCTCCTCAAGCCGTCACCTCTACCCCCACCCCAGCGGTCACGATAGCCTCCCAGGCGCAGGTTACTGCCAAGGACACTAAGATTACCGTAGGCAGAGCACCAGAGAGGGCTCTACCGGAACATAGAGCCCGCTCTACAACTAGAGCACGCTCTACCGTACGAAGAATAACCCAAAACCAGCCGAGACAAGAGCCAACCTCACAAGGAATACCACCAGCCGGCCCTGGCTATACAGATGCCATCCTCAGATTGGTTGGCATAGCCATTGAGGTCGGCTCGCAAGTCCTGGCCGATATAAGAGCCGGGACGGATCCAATTACTGCGATTATGAGAGCGTTGGCGCAACTACTTGCTCGGCATTACAGAGGCGAGTAACCTGCGCCTATTATATTGGAATCCAGACGGGATACAACAGAGGATCCATGAACTCCGCACTGTCGCCCAGCAGCAGGATATACAGGTGATATTGCTGGGAGAGACAAAACTGAATCCGAATACGCATCTCAAGCTGCCAAACTATTTTATATACAGAAGGGACGAGGTCAATCCTTGAGGGACCGCCTACAGAGGCACGGCGGTTCTGTTGAGGAGAGACATCGTCCATCAAGAACTGGACCTACCACCATATGAAACGATGCGCTCTATCGGCATAAAAATGGAGGCGGCGGGCGAGGAACTAAGGATCTACGCAGCATACCGCCCGCCAGGGACTCCATTCTGCTCCTCAGACATCCGGACGGTAATGGAAGGCGATACACCAACCATCGTCGCGGGGGACCTAAACGCGAAACACCCGGCGTGGGGCTCCAGAGTGATCACCCCGCCGGGTCGTGAACTGTATGACGACGCCGAGAGACACGGCTATGACGTTTTAGGTCCCGAAGAACCTACACACGTCCCTACGGACCACCGAAGATGTCCGGATGTATTGGACATCGTGCTCTCTAGGAACGTCAACTACCCGGTAGTGGTAGAGGTGCTGTACGACCTGATGTCTCAGCACTTCCCGATTCTCATTACCATTGGCCTCAGGGCAGTGACTACGCCGCCCGGAGCTATTAAGATAAAGATCAATTGGAGGCTCTACCAAAAATATCTAACGGAGAGACCTCCAATTTACACCCCTATTAACACAGCGGACGACGTAGAGGCCGCTGCAACAAGAATAACAAAGACGATTAAAGAGGCTCTACACGCGGCCTCTACGATCGTCCCGACTACAGGAAGACGGGAAGAGCTGCCGCGAGAGATATGCGTGCAGCTCAAACGCAAAAGAGCACTCAGGAAACTCTGGGCGCGTACTCGCTGTCCAAGATTGAAAACTCAATTGAACAACTTATCGGATGAACTGTCGGTTGCAGTCCGGGCCCACCGTGGAGAGGCCTGGGAGCGGCGCATATCGCAAGCAGAGGAGGAAGATGCGTCGCTCTACAAACTGAACCGGCAGTTAACTAAGACCAGACCCCCCGTTTGCCCGCTGACCAACAATGCGGGCGAACGTTGTTACGAGGCCAAAGGTAGAGCGGATATCCTAGCAGAGCACTTCGAGGAGCAATTTATGCCGAACCCAGCAAGTGCGGAGTTCATGGAACTACATACCCGGAAGGAGAGCCGCGTACAGGAGCTCCTGTCGAAGCCCGTGCCACCGCTTGCAGGAGAGTGGTTTATATACCCCGCCCTATTGCGGAGGACAGTAACCCACCTGCAACCCAGGAAGGCGCCGGGGCACGACGGGATAACCAACGCAGCACTTCGACAGCTGCCCCATAGAGCACTTGTAGAGTTAGGTCGACTCTACAACGGTATGCTGCGGACATCCCACTTCCCGGAGGACTGGAAAATCGGCAAAGTGATCGTTCTGCCGAAACCCGGGAAGGACAGACGTAGAGCAGCCAGTTAGAGCTATTACGCACTGTGGACTAGTCGCCGGCGACTCAGTTGTCGACGACTGTAATATTGTATAGTTTAAATATGTGTTTACGCACTAGTCACCGGTTGCCCGGGCGACTCGGCGACTCGCCGCGCAGTGGCGACGCACAGGCAACTGCCGGTCGCCGGCGACCAATAGGAGCACGGTTTCAAATTGCTTTCATTGAAAGCATTCACACTGCGAGCAACTGTCGTAACGACCGGACGGCCGCGCACAATGAGTTTTGACACGGATAAATTTATATCGGAAATACAATCCCGAAAAGCTATTTGGGATTTACAAAGTGAGGAATATGCTAATCGGGATTTGAAGAAAAAACAGTGGGAAGAAATAGTGGAGTTATTTGGAGGTGAAGAATTATCAGACGAAGAAAAAAAAACTCAGGTAAGTAAGAAATGCCATTTATTTTTTATTAATTAATACTGCTCATCTGCCAAGATAATTGACCCTCAGTTGTAAAGTAATCAGCAAATACATCTCTGTATGATGCACCACGTCGCGTAGCTCTTTGGAAACCGTTTGGGACTTCTTCAAAGCCAGGAATGCTCAGGGTATCTTCAAATTTATATCCGTCTCTTTCTCGGACATAGTTGTGAAGAGCGCAACATGTTTTGATGATGCATGATACTAGATCTAAATTCACGTTGATAGGTCTGTGAAAAATCTGCCACTTGTTTGCTAATATGCCGAATGAACATTCAACATGGCGTCGTGCACGAGAAAGCCTATAATTAAATATTTTTTTCTTTGTTGTTAAATTTGATCCACCGAACGGTCGCATAATTTTGTCAGTTTGTCCAAATGCTTCGTCACCCACAATAACAAACGGTACTGGTATAGGGTTTGTCGATGAAATGGGCTTAGGTTCGGGTATTTGCAAATCATTGTTCATTAGCTTTTGATAAAACGTTGAATTTGTAAATATAGTTGAATCGCAATCCTTTCCATAGGAACCAACGTCTATGTATATGAACTTATAGTCAGAGTCACAAATGACAAGCAAAATTACAGAAAAGAAGTGTTTGTAATTATAACACAATGATCCACTGTTGTATGGTTTTATAATTCTTACATGCTTACCATCTACGGCACCTATGCAATTTGGAAAATTGGCCCGTAAATGAAAATCTTTTGCGATTTTTAACCAATTTTCTTTTGTCGGTTGCGGTAAACACATGTCTTTTAGTACAACCCATATAAAATGACAAACTTCTCTTATTATTTCAGCTATAGTTGAAATCCCAAGTCTGTATGAGTAATGTAAATCTACAAATTTACAACCGCTTCCAAGATATCTGGAATTAAAAAATAACTTAAATATATACATTATTTACAGGTCATTCACTTCAAAAGAAATGGAAAAATATAAGAAGCTGCTTTTCGCGAGAAGTACGAAGATTAAAAAATACTAAAAGCGGATCTGCTGCTTCCCATAAAACTCCCTATATTTATTATAATCAGCTGTTATTTTTGAAGAATACCGTTGGTAATTTGAACACAGAGAGTAACATTGCTGAACAAGAACATTTGACAAATGATCAAGAACATTTAGGACCTTACTCGAGAGAAAATATAGTCGGAAGAAAAAAGAAAAAAACGTCAGATGATGGCACAAGCGAACTGTTAACCACATTAAACAAGTGTATTGAAACTCGCAAAAATAAGGAGGATATTTTGGAACAAGATGAGGACAGAATGTTCCTGATGTCCCTATTATCATCATTTAGGGCAATTCCGGAGCACAAAAAGTCAGCTGCGAAAATTCAATTAATCAGTGTAATCGAATCATTCCGATCCTCTACTCAAAATAATATATATCCAAACACAATGTGGCGAAATTTTAATGAGTACGAGTATGAGCGTGGTTACTTCACACCGGAGGCCGGGCGTTCAACAGCACCAAGTCAACAATCACGCCCTGAAGCACAACATTATTATACGCTACCAACTTCAACTCCTTCAGAACGTGAACGCCCAGAGTCGCGATTTTCTACTGTCACTTCAAATACCTCGCAAGATTCTGACATTTTGGATCTATTTTGAATATTTCCTTTTGTTGTGCGTTCGTTTATAATATTGATTTCATTAAGTACTTTAAAAAAATACATGTTTTATAATTATTTACCGTATATTTTTAAATTATGTCATCGAAGAGTAGACTTACAGATAGTGCCATCCACGAAGACGCGCCCCACTCTTTGTTCAAATGCATGTGTGCTATCTTCCGCATGTGTTAAACATCTGTCGATACACGCTAATTATCGATGAATGCAAACGCACACTAATAGAAATTGACTAATCAGGAAAGAGTATTATGAACAGCACGAAAGATGCTCTATTTAAATTTAATCGCGCATCTTCGTGGATGGCATTATCTGTAACTCTAAACACACTCCCGGACACATCTATCGGCCCACCTTGAGTTTTAAGTTTTGACTGGAGACCAGCTAAAAATAAATGTTAGGAAGAGCAATAAGTTTTTGCAGGTGTGAAGCTGATTTACTGGCCATCGTTTTTGTAAAAAACTGCATAAAAACTTATTGCACCACTTAACATTTATTTTTAGCTAGGGATTGTCAACACTTTAAACACTAGGTTTGGCCGATAGATGTGTCCGGGAATGTAATGTAAATTGTGTTAAAATCCCGTAAAAAATAAATGTTAGGAATGAATTTTATTTGAATTGTCACTTACCTTAGTGTTATAAAAAGTTTTTCTTCCGGAGAAATACATGGTCGCATATTTGTATCTATGCCAGTTATATGTGGTTTTAGAAGACACAATAAGACATCAAACGAACTCACAGACATTCTTGCATAATTAAAAAATTTACGAGGATATTTTCTAACGTCTTCATAAAATATTTTAAACATTCCCTTTGACCTCCGTTCTTCTAACAAAGGATGCACCCAATACTCTTTTGATTTTTTTTTATTTGTCTTTCTTTTTATAATTAGTAGCGCCGCTACTATTGCAAGTTCTTCAACGTCCATTCTGCACGAATGTACTTGGAATACTGTCGCTCGGCTCGGTCTCCGGGCCCTGTTTCCCATGTTTCGGTCGCCGAGGGACTGAGTCGCCGGCGACTAGTCGACAGTGCGTAGCCCTTAGCGGAGGAATGAACGATTGGTTGGAATTTAGAGAAACCTTTGATTCACTAATTAACCAAAGTCAAATGAATAGTATTCAAAAATACAAATATCTACGAAGCTGCTTACAAGGTGGCGCTCTGGAGGTAGTCAGCTCACTCGAATTCACAAGCGAGAATTACTCCTTGGCTTGGAATCTACTCTGTGAGAGGTACAACAACCCACGTTTATTAATAAAAAAGCATCTGAAAGGGCTATTCAATATGGAAACAATTTCATTTCAAGCTAGCTCTTTGAGGTCTGTCATAGATAATATATCCAAACATTTACGATCTCTAAAGTCACTTTCGGTACCTGTTAGTGAATGGGACCTAGTAATTATACATTTTATTAGTTCCAAATTACCACTTTCCATACAAAGAAAGTGGGAAGAGCGGATTAGCTCGAAGGAATTGCCTTCGTTGCAGGAATTTAAGGATTTTCTCCGCTCTCGAGCTGACCTGCTAGAAGTGTCACACTCAGACGAAGTAAGTTCTGACAGTCGCGACAAAAGGTCGTTGGTGGCCACGTCCTCCTCCGTCACTCCGAGACCAGAGAAGCAAAATTTACATCAATGTCCACAGTGCAAGGGTAAGCATTATATTAATCAGTGCCCAGGATTTTTAAGCCTGAGTCCAGTGATGCGCATGCGCGCCGTCAAAAGGTCAAAGCTCTGCCTCAACTGCCTGAGCCCTAACCATGCAGCGATAAACTGTCGCTCATCAACGTGTAGGCAATGTCAAGGTAAGCATAATACACTTCTCCACATACCTACCGAAGGTACACAACACCAGCAAACATTTCAATCACATCCAACAACGCTACTAAACTCGCATTTGGCGCATACAAACCAACAAACTAATCATACTGAGAACAAAACGCAGCGATCGGCTGGCGTAACAAATGAGTATATAACCACTACTACACAGCCACAGACTAATAAGGCATTTGCACAACCGAGTACAAGCACATCAAACAGTGCGCGGTTTATTGCTACCGGACCAGCGACACTTACGAATACGGTGACTTCACATGTCGTACACAACAAAACTATTTTTCTCTCCACCGCTCGTGTCTATGTTTTTAACAATAAAAATAAACGTAACACTTTACGAATTCTTTTTCTTTTATTTTACGAAATTTTGTCAAACATAATTCGAGTGATCTGGCGGCTTCCTGTTCATCACAAGGTATTGAGTGGAAATTTATTCCTGTTTATTCACCCCATATGGGTGGTATTTGGGAAGCAGCCGTCAAAAGTGTTAAGTTTCACTTAAAAAGGACATTAAATCAAAGTTTGTTAACGTATGAGGAGTTCGCAACTCTTTTAATAGAAATTGAGGGAATACTAAACAGTCGACCCCTCTGCCCCCTCCCTACTTCCGACACAGACATAATCCAAGTCCTTACCCCTGCTCACTTCCTCATTGGAAGACCGATTACTTCTCTGCCAGACTTCGAATACAAAGACATACCAATGACGAGATTGAAACACTTTCAACAACTCCAACAGATGTACCAGGGATTCTGGAGAAGATGGTCACGTGACTACGTGGGGCTCCTTCAGCAGCGAAGCAAATGGCGAAGCTCCAAAGGACCCAGTCTGGCTGTCGGCACGATCGTCCTAGTCAAAGACGATCGCCTCCCTCTCTGTCTTTGGGCGCTGGCGAGGATCATCGCAGTACACCCGGGCCCTGACAACACTGTTCGTGTCGCAACGATGAAGACGTCAAAGGGAGCCATTATCAAGAGTAGTTTCAACTCGATTTGTCCTTTACCAACGGACTGTAATTAGTGTCTAGTTTATAGGTACCTAATACTAGTATATAGGTAGTTATCATTAAGCATATCCTAATTAAGTTTCAATATGTTATTTAAGTACATAAGTTTACTTTACATTTCTTGCAAATAAATATTGGTTTCAAAGTAGGGATCAAGTTTAGGTAGGTAATAAAATGAAGCCTTTCCTATTGTTCAAACTTAGCTTAGGGGTGTTTCACTCATTTGATTTATTCGATGTGCCCAGGTCATGGACAAACTGTTTAGAAAGCTCGGCAGTTTCTTTGTGACAGGGTAAATATTTAGGTAGGTAAATTACCAAAGAGTAATTTAAATTTGTAATTTGGTTTTGAAATGGTAATATTAGTTTACCTATTTACTTTCTTCAATTTGAAATTACCATTTCAAGGCCGGAGCATGTTCAGATGACAGCGCCATCTATCTCATACCATGTACAACAAACTAGCGACATCTAGATCGCCCGTACTGTAACTAGGAAGTAACCTAACCATTGTATCGATCACAGAGTGTGTTAGTTATAGAACCTAAGCAATTAGTTCCATTGTAATACCGCTGAGGGCGCTGTACGAGACTATAAATATTAAGAGCCTTGCCAAGGCTCGTCCATTTTGATCGATTGCACAACAATAAAACATATATTCCAAGAGATCGCAGTCTTTGCTGTAACAATGTGTTAAGGGAATGCGATGGTAACATAACAACGCCAAGCAGCAGTAACGCTGACAACGCAGCGGATGTGGTGCCTACGCATGTACAGTTCGCGCTACCACCGCCTACGCCGGTGACGTCGTCGTCACCTGGCCCTAGCAACCGTAAGCCATAAGCGTGAAAGCAACGCGGAGTGGTCGCATTGTTAAGTTACCTTCACGATTTAATATAAGTTAGTGTTAACATAAAATGTATTATATATGCAATATAATTACGTGTTTAAATAATAATCATGTTAGTTACTATGGATGTGAAAGTATTATTTGCATTCTTAGGTGCAGAATATTTTCATACAGAATATTCAAATTACATTATTTAAGTTGAATGTAATTTTAGATGTATTGCGTTTTGTATTTTGCGTGTACTGCAGTTTTCATTTACGTTTAGGTAGTTAGTTTAGTTATAATGTATTTCGTTTCATTTGAAATAATTTCTTTGCAAAAGAATTAGTGCGAAAGTTTTACGATTTTTACTATGGGTACTATCAAGAAAAACTAGTTATTGTTTCTCAGGCTCAGAATGCTGTAGAGAATAGTGTATAATTTTCAAATATGGTTATATGTGATAGCCAGATTTATGGGAGCAATAATATTGTATACTATTTGGGTGAAGTTTAATAAGAAGTTCAAAAACTGGCTTCGCCATCAGCTGTTCATGGCCAGCGTTCCAATGTCAGGCCAGAATATGGGTCAGATGATAGGCGCCTCTAGCGCCAGTCTGCAGCACGTGCCCGCGCCTGCTGCGTCAGCCGCTCCCTTCGCGGGTGTTTCCGTACAGCTCTACGCATCAGCGCATTAACAAGTGTTTATATAGTTTTAAGTTTTTGTATTCTTTTTGTAAAGGGGGAAGTAATGTAGGTGTGCTGCGCACACACACACGCACGCACGCACGCACGGCGCGCACGCGCACGCGCACGTATTACACGCTCCTCTATAATAAATATGTCATAAAAGTTGTGCAATCTTTCATTATGGTCACCCGTAGGGACCCATATGGAGTCAGCTCCAAAAAGCTCAAAACTGTTTTTTTACTTGATAGTTGCAATTTTCATGACTCCCATACCAGTGAAAATATACAGGAAATGTTAAAAAATATTGTGACTGAATGGGACCTCACTGATAAGATAATATTTGCCGTAGCAGACAACGCTGCTAATGTATAGAAGGCCATTCATAACATCGGCTGAAAGCAATTTGGATGCTATGGCCACACTTTGAATTTAATAGTTCAGGATGCCCTCACGACGGTTCAACTAATGGTGTAAGAAGTGATGCTTTTAAATTAATTATTTCATATTTAAGTAAGAGAACGCAAAAAGTTGTCATTAACAGTATGAGTTCTTCCGGGTCGATGGTACAAATGGGCGTGCCTCAAGGCTCAATTCTCGGCCCCTTTCTGTTTCTTGTA